GATTATTTTTAATCAGCTTATTAGCAGATTATTCAATAAGCTGCAGCTGCCCTAAACAGACCCTTAAGCACCTGAATTCGTGCTGATTTTGTGGCTCGCAAAGGATTCGGGTGCTTAATATGTAAATTAAAAGTTTGATGTGCGGGATATGTAAATGGGAATATTTTGAGTGCTGTGTAGGTAAAATTTGTATATATTTTAATCATTTAATTAATATTATAATTTTTTAATTATATTTAAAGTGTTTATTTCTGGCTAGTTTATAATTTGATCTAGGCAAATTTACTATCGTTGGATTCATCTCATCAAAATACTTAGTTTAATTATAAAATTATAAAATAAAAAAAAAAGATTTGCAGGGTCATTAATTTAATTATACAAATTTTTTAATTCATGTATTATATTAATGTTCATATTTCATTAAATAAATTCAATGCAGTTTTTGATGTATTATATTAATGTCCGTATAGTACAAATGCGTTCTGTTAATCCTGTTTTTGGTAGTTTGGATATTAATTTTTTGGCATTTGATATGTCAACAAATTTTCATAATTGATGTGAATCTCGAGGTATGATGCAGTTCTCAATATAATTTGATAAATATTTAAATTTTAATATAAAATTATTCAGAACTTTAAGTTCAACAAAGTTACAGTCAAACTAATTGAATTGATGAGACGAACACAATGACATTGAAGTTTGTCCAATGAGAGTCAAATCAAGCTCTGATCGAGTTGTCAAGTTATTTTTGGATGTTAATCGTGCCCAGTTGAAAAGTTAAATTTTAAATCTGACAAGCTTATAATCGAATTGAGGATCTCAAAAAGATGAATCCAACGACATTAATAAGGCACTCAGAATGTTTATAAACTGTCTTCTAATTGAGGGAACCTTTCCAGACAGTCTCATGAAGTGAACATGATTTCTTACTTATTTGTAATGAGGCTTCTCGTAGAATTTATAAATAGAGTCTCACCCTCTTCATGAAAGGGGGCAACCAGAGGAAGACCAGAGCTTGGAGGTGAGGTGTTGAGGTTCAATGTTCTACGTTGAAGATCCAGCAAACGCCGCCCACTCCTACAACCGCCCAACACCATCGATCATCGCTCTCACAGTCATCTATCACCGTCGATCACAGCACTACACCCACAGTCAAAACTGTCGGTCACCCCTGCTTGTTGCAACAAAGCCCCTTGTAGATTCATGACATATACTACAAACCTTGACATATGTTGTGGACTAACGAAAGACCTTATAAAGCTATGCAATGGCGTATCATGAAAATGGTGTAACAACATGTCCTGAAGATTATCCAACAACGCACCCGGAATATGTGCAAAGATGCATCCTAAAGATGGTGAAACAATGCCTCCCGTAATAACTGCTTACAACCACTATACGCAGGATGCAAAGACTTTCTCCGGACTCTATAAGATCTCTCCTTAAAGCCTACAATTGTGACTTATGTGACCGACTACGAC